GGGATCATGACCTGAGTCGAAGGCAGACGCTTAACAACTGAGCCACCCAGGCGCCCCAGCCAGGATTTTTGTTGCAAATAGAACCACAGTTCACTAGAGCTTAGAGGACTTCTACAATATTGAGCCCAAGCCCCCCCGCTGTTTTGAGGGGGACATGGAAGAACTAAGAGGGTTGGGTCTTCCTCAAGATCACACAGCAAGTCAGTAAGAGAGTCGGGTCAAGAACCTAGGTCCTCCTACTCTTTCCATGCATTCTGGCCAGCTCTCCTGCCCTGTCATGACCCCTTAGCTCTGCACAGGGCTAGAATAAAGTGGGGTGTGGAAGGGGCGGTGCTGGATGGGGGCAGAATTGAAGACAAAGGTCAGTGCCTCTTCAGAGCTAGGTTGTGGGAAGGATGAGCCTGCCACTTGGGTTGGGTCACCTCCAGTTTTCGGAGTTAGTCCTTCGACGATTGTGCCAAGGATGCAATGACAAGAGCATCGGGTAAAGGATCTATTTCTGCTCACTGCCCAGGGGAAAGAGGAAGGTTTCCAAGAGACCCAGCTCAGCATAGCTGATTTGGGCCTTTCTCTCTAGAGAGAGTGGTCGGTTCAACAATGAAAATGAAGCTGTATTTTTGCAAGGCGGTGCAGTGCAACAGGGAAGATATTGGGCTCCTGGGTCTAATGCACCTCATTTCAAATGCAGTACCCCCACTTCCTGGCTGTGTGACCTTGCACAAATCTCTTCGCCTGTCTGAACCTCAGTTTCTTCATCTGACATAGAAATAATAATCATTACCTCAGGTTGGTTGTGAGGATTCAATGCAGCAATGCTTATGCTTTGGAGCAGCACCTTACTTGGACAAGGTGAAGTTTGAATGATGTCAAAAGTATCCTGGACAGCTATTGCATTAAATTAAGCACTTGGATTGCAATTAAGGATCACATTATACCAAAAAAATTGTGTATCTTTAAATATTAGAACTCAGGGCGCCTGGGTGGCTCAGTCGTTAAACGTCTGCCTTCGGCTCAGGTCATGATCCCAGGGTCCTGGAATCGAGCCCCGCATTGGGCTCCCTGCTCAGCGGGAAGCCTGCTTCTCCCTCTCCCGCTCCCCCTGCTTGTGTTCCCTCTCTCGCTGTCTCTCTCTCTCTGTCAAATAATAAAATCTTTTTAAAAAATATTAGAACCATATTCAGTGTAGTAGGAAACTCGCATCAAAAAAGGCATCCCGATACCAAAGACCAAATGCAATTGACGATTTCCATCTTTTGCTCTGTCTCTAGAGGAGTCATTGAGCAGAAGGAGACACAGTTGCCAGCCCTAGTGAAATTTATCAGTTAAGATGAATGAAGATCATGCATCAGTTAAGATCTGTTAGCACAGAGCTGGCACATAAATGAATGTGAGCCAGCAATAATGTAGTTGATGTTGATATGATTTTTTTTTAAAGATTTTATTTATTTATTTGACAGAGAGAGACACAGCGAGAGAGGGAACACAAGCGGGGGAGTGGGAGAGGGAGAAGCAGGCTTCCCGCCGAGCAGGGAGCCCGATGCGGGGCTCGATCCCAGGACCCCGGGATCATGACCTGAGCCGAAGGCAGACGCTTAACGACTGAGCCACCCAGGCGCCCCATGTTGATATGATTTTTATCGACTCTTCCAAACTTGGTCAACTGAGAACATTTGAAAAGAACTCTGGATTGGTGGAGGGAACAGGTGTATTGGTTTCTTTTTGTTTGTTTGTTTGTTTACAGGCACTATTACAACCCAAGGGGTTGAGTCAAGTACAGCAGACTCCACAAAAGTCTCTGTGCCTAAGGGGCCTACAGCGTGCTCATTGACAACCTTGGCTCTAACCAACAATGGGAGAGACAACGTCTCTGTGGTTCCACTTAACCCCTCAGCAACAATCAGGAGGTCAGCAATGTCAGCGTCCCAGAAGAGTACACCACCAGCTACTCCTCTCACTTCACCACAAGCCAACAGCTCTGCTGCCCCACCGAGCAGAAAACCCCAATACTTGAGACTCAGGAGGAGAGATCCAAAAACACAGCCTTGTCTAGCATGGCCACTTCAGCTAAGCCCTAAAATAGAATCAGAGAGC